AGTCTAGATATTCGGGTCCGCAAAAATAGGTAACTGCCAAGACTTAGTCATAACGGGCAGTCGTGCCCGTAACTAGTCGTTGCGTCGAACAAGGGTGAGACGACGAACAGACGCGTTATGAGCACTAGTCTGGTCTGCTCGACGTGTAGCGAGCAGATCAGGGAGGAGGTTGTCGTTACAGACAGAAACATGATTTTGTCGTCGTTGATCTCGTAGTCCCACAGGACAGTCGACCATACTTTCTCAACCCAGAATCATAGTTATTGAGCGAGCGCTTATTAGACCATACTGAAGGTAGGAGCAGATTAGACCAATTCTAATCATTGGACCAGTCCAGAATAATATATATATATATATATATATATATATATATATATATATATATATATATATATATATATATATATATATATATATATATATATATATATATAAAATTTTAAAGTATCTCTATATGTTTTAAATAAAATTAGAAATGATTTTATTTATCAAATAATTGTCTTGTCGTTTTAGATATAAAAGAAATTGTATTTTAAAGAATAATTTTTATAAAAACATTTTTAAAATGTTAAATGTTTTCTAAAACTCAGTCCAATGATATATTTTAATAAATTATATATTTATCATTAAATTATTATTATAATTTTATTATTATTATTATTATTATTATTATTATTATTATTATTATTATTATTATTATTATTATTGTTATTATTATTATTATTATTGATATTAATTTCATTTTTTAATAAAAAATTACTAAAAATATTTTAACCATTTTAAATTTGAATTTTTCTTAAAAATACTACATCAAACAACTCATTACTAGCCCACAGTAAATTATCTACTTTGTCTACAATGATTTTAGTGGTTTATCAAAAAAATCGACCTATTTTGACTTCCTTAAAAACTTTAAACATCTATTGAAAACATAGCATCAATTTTTCTATTAATTTTTTAAATCACCACGGTCATTTGAATAATCCAGTAAAAAACAAAACTTAATTTATGATATTATTAATATGCCACCCTACACCTTTATTAACAAAATTTGACTACCATTGAAGTTTTAATATTCAATTGGATGAATTTTTTATCATATTTATTACAATTCAGGTTTGGAAAACATGTAGCCACGAGTTTTATCAATCCATATGCTATATAAAGTTAATAGTGGACCAAATAAAACATCTATATATAATGTGTGATAATGTATGAGACTTCATAATTAAATTTGTGCAAAATTTTCATTGAGTAAAAGACATTATTATGAATGTCTTTACTATTTTTGTTGTATTAGTGATCATGACAACTAGTCATGTTCATTGCCGCGAAGGTCTAATGGGCAGAAAAAAATAAATATATATGTTGAAAATAATTTACAAGTTGACATCATTCTTGTTTTACATTGTTGATCTTCAAATAATGATTTTGGAGAAAAGATACTTCATAGTGGATAATTTGTGGAATGGTCTTTCAATACAAATCCCCTCAACATTACTCTCTATTCACGTGACATAAAATGGAACAATAAGCATAATTGATTATAAATCGTGAAATTTTGTTACTTATTGTTCCATTTTATGTTTCATGAATAGAGTAATCGATACTCAATACACATTACAGAGACATTATATATACAAGTCCAAAAGAAATAATATACAAAGGTGCTTAAACAAAACTAGGATCTATAATAGAGTCTACATGATCCACAACAGAAGATCATAATCCAAAAAGTCTGATCGCCAATATATTATCAAGCAAGCTTATCTTTGCCTTTATCCTTCACAAAACTATTTGAAAACAACAACGATAATAATGGGGTGAGATAATAATCTCAGTGAGTTCTTTTATCCTATGGGTCCACTCGACTCTAAAGGACTGTTATTGTTTCTTTTTTAACTTTCCTTTATACGCTACTTGTATGTCACTCACACAATGTAACTAGGACTTAAGCATTCAAGGAGTTTTTTTCTTTCGTATGGAAACATGTAAACACGATTTCATCAACTCAATAAATCACTATTCATAAATATACCAAAGAATATTTCCTCAATCAATCCTATACCTAGGACTATAGATATGGGTCATAGATCTTTGTATCATGATTAGACTTTCATAGTGAACTTAGATTCTCCATGGGACTCGAACTCACTTTAAGAATCATCAATTATATAGGACTCGAACCCACTTATGGCATCACTCCTCTATGAGACTTTAACCTTATAAGGTATCTTTCCTTTGTGAGACTCGAACCCACTTATGAGACAATCTCTTTTCTATAGGACTCAAATCCACTTATGAGAAATGGGAATCAATAATGCGTATATTTCAATCCTACTTTACGTAAGCATCACAATCGGGACGAGCACGAGTAGGAGTTATTTCCGAATACGTGATTGATTCTTATCACCAGTATCTGATTAGTTCGTCAATCACCATACATATATATTTTGCAGGAACAAGAATTTGATTCACCGGAGAAGACGACCGGAGCTAGGGCTCCGGCGTCTCTCCGGTCCATATGTTTTTGTTTAATATTTATTTTAATCGTTTCATATAAATCAACAGATGATTTAACGTCCCAGCAGTTGAAACGCGCGCGTTAAGTCACTATTATACCAAGGTGTGGGTTTGATCCCCGCCTTTTGGTTGTTTTCATGTTTTTTCTGATTTTTGTAGGTTGTATACAACGCGTCCTCGTACATCAACCAGGAACCCTCAAGTTTCACAGTCGTTCGATCTCTGCCTTTTGGTTGTTTTCATTTTTTCTGATTTTTACAGGTCATATGCAGCGCGTCCTCGTGCATCAACCGGGCACCCTCAGTCTTGTAGCCCTCGGATCCAGATCTGACGCTCCCAGATGCGCAACCCGCAATACATCCCTTTCGGCCATCACACTGGATCAGGCGCTGACACTCGTTGGGGCCTGGACCTCAATTGCAATCTGCACCCACCACTGTTTGCTGATCTGGGCCAACTCTTTCTCTTTTTTATATATTTTTTTCTTTTACATTTTATTATTTAATTAAAATACCAAAAATATTAACTTTTTTCAATTAAAATTAATTTAGATTTTTAGAGTTTTTTTAATTATTTTTAATTAATCAACTTTTTTATAATTAAATTAGTTTCTTTTTTTAATTAAAATTAATTTAGTTTCTTTAGGTTTTTCACTAAACCTTTTTTCTTAATTAAAAAATCAATTTAGAGTTTTTAGTTTTTAATTAATCAATTTCTTTTTTTAAATTAATTAGGTTATTAGGTTAATCGCAAAACCTTTTTATCGAGCAAAATCGCCAAAAACAATTCCCTCCTCCTTTCGCTTTCCTATCTTACGGTTAGCGTAATTTATTGTTCTTGCGTTTTCTTATGATTATGTAACTCCTCATGATTTGTAATAGTTAATTATGATTTTATTTTTCCCCCATTCCCGAAGTCATGTAATAGTGTAGGAATATTTATTTTTCGTACTTTACCGCTTTCCTATCTTTACTGTTACTGTTAGCTAATAGGATTGTATGACAAGATTAAAAGCAAACAATAGCTAATCTTAATCAAAGATAAACAATACTCGGAACACAAATCACTTTGCACACCCACACCTCTAGGATAACCTCCCTTGTTGCCTTCGATAAAAATAGTCATGTCCCTCGAACGTGGTGACACTTTAGCCCAGTCCCTCGAAATCAAAAGATCGTAGTCTCTCGATGACCCTTTCGAATGTTGTCTTCGGTAAACAATCTAGTCCTTTAACGATAAATTGCTAAAATGTCCTTACAATTTGTCTTTTATGAATGTATGATGACCCTCGCCTGTCCCTTCACATCCAACGATAGGACTTCCTACTAACTAATGGTAGGGTAGCACTATCTAAAGGAGGAGGAAAAGTACAATAAAGACCTTGAGTAGATAGATCACTCGTAATCGCTTGCTCACAAATCTCTTCAAAACAAAAATATCTTTTCACAAACACTTTTCTAAAATATTTTCAAACAAAATACTTTGTACGCATTCTTGAGGACTGATACAAGAATCATTACAAAGTCTTGCCTTACTATTGGCCTTTTCCAAATATTTTTCAAACACCCAACACAAAGAAAATTTCAAAAAGTGAGCTAGCGATTAAGAGCCCGTAGATAACTACGGATGAAAAATGTGCTAACACCTTCCTTTTTCATAACCTACCCCTCGAACTCAAGAAAATCTCGAAGGTCTTTTGTGTTCTTTTCACCCTTTCTTTATTGGATAAAAGAAAAGTCGGTGGCAACTCTTACTATCCGCAACATTTACGAATAAACGCAAAACCAAGTCAGTTCTCCCACTGTATTACAAGTAGCCTCGGTAATCTTAGCGTCTCAGATTTTAATGGATTGATTTTGAAATACTGATGATGCTCGAGTTTACAGTTTTGCGGGTAATATTGGTTATTCAAATATCCTTCATTCATGTTGAGCTGATGACGCTATAACATGAATTGTCTATGGTCTGAGGACTTGGCATCAAAGACCTGATGTGTTATTCTGATTTCAACTCTACTATCAAACTTATCCCATAGTCTGTTAGTGTTTAGTCTTACTATGTCACGATTCTTCATAATATTAAAGAACTTTTTTTAAGGGAATGACATGTTCAACTATTTCACACTCATAGGAAGGAGAATGCTTATGTTGATTTTCTAATAAAATATAAAACAAATAATGATGTGGTCTGTTGGTCTTTTGCGAAACCCCCTTGTTGAAATTCATGCTAGTAGATGCTAGTGAAAATTGTATTTTCTAAATAATTTTCTATTATTTCTTTTCCTTTTCTCATTTATACCAATTTATTTTGTGTTTTTCCAATTCTACATTCTGGCACGTATTAAATGATTATTATTTGTATTTCTCCTATGGTTACCGTTATTAGCTAGTACTAGTGGGGTCCATAGTTCCTGTTCTTAAATAAACTCACTGTTTTATTTTTCTCTCTTACTTGAGCACTAGTAAAATTGCAACAGCATGGAAGAAAAGATGATTGCCTATGAAGAAGAAGAGATGCCTAAGTTATCATCATACCAATCTCACCACTCTTGCTTTATCAGAGATGTCTATTACAGGTCCTCTCTCACTCTCTATATATTAATGTGTTTTCATTTTGATCATTCTTTCAATTTGTTTGCGCTGATGCAGTTGTGGTTCGTGCGGTTATGAACTCAACTTGAACTCGAGCAATCGCAACACAAACACAACATCTCTCATTGATTCAAGTTACGGAAGATCAATTAAGAAGAGGAAGAGATCTCTCATTTCGTTTTTCTCTGTTGACGAAACTAGATTCACTCACATTCAACAATTCTCATTCTCATGGATTTCGTTTTTCAATTTCCAACCCACAGTAACAGCAACTAAACTACTCTGTCGAAACTGTGGAAACCACCTAGGTTATGCTCGCACTTTCCCTCCTCACTCTCGTTCTAACTCATGGGACGGTATCTCTGATTCTAGAAACTTCTACATCAAACTCAACGCCATTCAACCTTCCTCATAAGTAGTTTTCTTGTTTCATTAGTTATCATGTATTTGTATTTGTATCATCAATGTCAATTATTACTACATAATAGAGGAATAAATGCAAGTGTTTTTACCAAGAAAAGAAAATGTTACTTAGTGTTAGTTGTTATTCAGTTAGAGTTAGTTAGAATCTGTTTCTCATTTTTATGAAAAAACTGTATCAATGTGATTCAATACCTTTTGTTCAATATAAAATTTACACTTACAGACCAATCAAGTTTGAAAAAAAGAGGTAAACAAGTCCTATGCATGAATGTACAACGTGCTAGTTGGTGGTTTAGGCCTTAGGTTTCCCAAGGCAAAGAGACACAAATTTCAACATCATCTATCTTTACTCAACCCAATTTATGTCCAACTGTTTAAGTTCTGTATGCCACTTGTGTGTGTCTTGAGAAATATAGGGTCTAGATGCTGTATTGATCTCGCTATCTACATCAGGTGATTCCATTTGATCATTTTCCTTATCGATGGCAAGGTTGTCTTGACTGCTTCTTTTCCTCCTCGCCTTCAGGGACAAAAGACGCGAAACCTCATGAAGTCCACCCCACTTTTCTAGCGCTCGTGCAATATCAAAGCGGCCTGTAAGTAAATTCAAGTATGTAGCACGAGCAACGCAAACAATAAAATCAAAGTTGAGATAGGGAATATTTCAACCTACCTACGCGTTCAAATGACTTTCTACTCGGCATAAATGACGGGTCCATTCCCCAGCTCCTTTGAAATTTACTTATCTGCATGAAGAAATGAATTATGTTCTGATAGAACCTATGAACAATGTTATGTTTGTTAATACGGCCAGTGTGTACCTCTTCCTGCAAATTTTCAAGATTATCCCAGTAACCCTTTGGTTTGCGGTTTTTGTAAGCTAGAGCGAGGTTCATTATGGTTGCAATCTTTCTGAATCCACCCATGCGTGTTATAGCCTTCTCAATATCCACTCTTCCATGCAACCGAAGCTGCTTTCTCATTGGCATAAACCCTTCCTGTCCATGTTCCGCAACGAATTTCAGTAGTTCAGATTTTAAGACTTCAATATCCCTCTGTAGTCCTGGAACTCTTGACCTTTGATTAGACGAGCTTTGAACATTACAATCAGAAAAATCATCAGCTGAACTAGAACCGTTATCATCTCCAGAAACAGATGTAATATTTTCTTCTCCGGAATTTGTATGCTGCTCACAAACTTCTGAAAATTGAGATGCTTTCTGGTTCTCAACGTAGTCTCTTATTGCACACAAGTTTGATGGCAGATCTTCATAAATGACCTGAAACAAAGAAACAAATACATTTCAGCCATTCAAGGGTTTAACAAGTATCTAAAATGCACAAATTTTCCAGAATGTTTTGCCCATATCTCCAAACAGTACATACATCGAAACAATATGAAATTGATTAAGATCAACCAAATCAAACTAATAGACGAAACCTCTTCCATGATAGCTTCAGAAAGGAAAGTATCTTTGCGCATTTTTGACTCCACAGAGTACTTAAGAAGTGTGTGATGATTCCCTAGTTGCTCAAAAGTCCATTTTCCTTGGAAGGAGTCAAAGTCACCTTCAACCTGTTCAAAACTAATCTCTTGTTCTAGCTGTTCACACAAATCTAACACAACACGGGCGTGAAGCACCATATAAAGCAGACCCTTGCACCCTTCCTGCATGGCAATTTAATCACATACAATTGTGTATTTGTATCAGTTCTTGTGCAGATAAAGTGGCCGGAATATATACAGTTAAGAATTAAGACTCTCGTTTTAACTCTGATTAGTTAAGATTGCTCCGTACCTGAAGAATACGGACTTTATTGTTATCTCGTGATAAAATCTTACTGATTGCTAAATTTGGAACTACCCTGCAACAAAACATTTTTTTCCTTGGAGTTAAGTCTTGATTATGAAAAACAAGACCTAGAAATATTTTACTGCATACTTCCAATATCTCTAGCTAAAGAGGAAACACGTATTACTTACTCAGGAAGCGTCTCATAAGAAGACATAACATTCCATACATCACAAACAGGAGCTTTAACTGTTATGCTTGCGACAACACACCGATGAACACCTCCATTTTCCTTCACATAAAAAACATTTTTATTAGTAACTTTCACTATTAGCTCATTTTAAGAATTAAAGTCATCTAATAACAGTTTTAGTACAGATAAGTTACCAAAAGTCCATCGAATCTGCGGAGATGAACTTCGTCCACTACACAAGGCTTGTCAAGGCTACAAACTTTTCCAAATATACTCCAATTGCTGCTTAACTCACTCGTAGATGTAGGCAACGAACCGGTAATTGAAGTGTCCAGACTTTCTTTATCTTCTCCAGCAGTCAGTTTGTCGGTTTCACACAAAGAACCGTTTATCTTTTTGACAGAAGATCCATTAATAGCCAAAGTTTTGTGCAAGTCATCTTCTGGTAGAGGAAGTTTCTGATTTCCAAAAAGAGTCCTTTCAACTCTATACGCTAAGGCTCGGAGATTCACCGGAAGATCTGATCTGATAATCCTTTCCAAGAAAATAGCTGGGAAGTTGAATCTTGGTATCACATTAACCTCATAAGATAAATTAGTCGATGACGATCTGCAAAAAACGGAAATGGAGGATATAAAATCAAAATATAATTTCTTTATACCATGCAAGGTTGCTTATTAGCTTTCAGATGTATATGGTTCTACCTTGTTCCAGATTTTACTGACCATTTTCCCTCAAACTTCTTAAAGTCTCCATCAACCATGGAAAAGTGAAGTTCTCGATCCCATTCCTAGAGCATTAAATCTCAGTCACACATATAACAGATTGCTACTAGTATGCACTATGCAGTAACAAAATCATTTAAGAAAATGAATAACAGAAAATGTTTAAGAATGCTTACAGAATTGAGAAATTCTTGAAGATCCAAGACAACACGAGCTTCAATGTGCCAATACATTGCCCTTTGAAATCCTCTTTGCTCTAACCATATCCTTCCAGGAAATGGGCAAGGAATACACCCACTAACAACAAATCAACACTAGTATTATCAAAGCCGTCTCTGAGAGCGTGCAAGGCAGCAGGTGCACGTGGTTAAATTGCTGCTAACCTAAGCAGCGCCTCCAAAAACTCAAAAACTCAAAAGAGTGAGTATTATGCATATACTCTGCATGACTCATGTGTTGTAATGGGCCATGTTTGGATTAATATATTAATTAAGCGCCTTAAGCTGAAAACTGGTTCATAAACTGTGACAGACAACAGAAGTACATAAATAAGCAAATCCAAACAAGGCCTAGATAGATTACCTCCAAACAAGATTAGGTATGAAATCAGCGAGGTGTTCATAATCAGTGAGAGCATTCCAAACGGAATCAATATCAGCATTGATAGAAATCCCAGCCTTAACTCTCCGTTCCCTCCAAGAAACCACTTGAAGCTCACAGTGAACTTCACGGTCACTATAATCCTCTTCTAGCCCATTGTTGAAATATCCTTCTTTACCATCCAAATGGCTTCGGGGTTTGCAGTGTGTTGGTGAGGAGAGAGCAATTCCGTTGTAAAAAAAGCGAGGGAAAAAGAGGAGAGTGAGTGAGAGAAATGGTGGTTTGGAATGTAGGGAGGAGCGTAATGAAAGTGGGTTGACGGTTGAAGAAGAAACTCTGCATGTAGTGATCATTGAGTGAATGGAGTGTGAAGAAGAAGAAGAAGAAGTAACAGTTTAGTTGTTGTTGTTGTTGTTGTTAATGATGTCTGATGGCATTGGCTACAGTGTGGTCGCATTATGGCCACTCGTTTTTGGGTTGTTATTATCTTATGGTGTTTACAGTTTTGTACTTCTCAATTGGTGGTTCCAACTCTATACACCTATATCTTGATATTTAACTTCTTCCTACGTATTTTCTTATTCATATTCCATTCCAGGATTTAATTTTGGCGTTTCCTTCACTTGGCTAATTGCTCTTAGGATTTTATTATTTAACACTATAATATCAACTTCATCACTATCTTAACACCTCATTTTTATATCGAACACATAAATCCTATGGATTGTTTATCGTATTTAAAAAGTGAACAATATTTTTTTAAATAAAAATATATATTTATGAACAGTGACTATGAACATTGACATAATATAAATAATATTTGCGAATATTATTCGTGAACAGTGTATGATTGTTAACCCATATTTTATAAGTTACTATATATCTTAAACCTTTTTCTTTCTTAGTAGTTAAATTGTTTTTAATTGTTATTTCATTGTATTGTAGTTGTTTTATAGTAATTTGTTTGGAGCATAATAGGTGCTTCTTTTTATGTTTTAACGTGTTTTGTGCTTGAATTAAGGTTAGCTCTGTCGAACTGAGGCAAGACTACTGTAGTTTGTAATTGGAAGCACAACCTGAAGTAAGAAGCTGGACTTAACTAAGGAAGAATATTGATGAAGTTAGCTGGTTTCTAGGGAAATTATGGTATGATGGAAGTATTGGAGGGAATCTTTGTTGTGCTTAGAGGAAAAGTAAGAATAAGTAAACACACCTAGTAATCCTAAGATTAGAGAAGGTTCCCCTTGAGCACAAGGGAGGTGAGGGGGTGTCTAAGACCTTCCCCTCGCTTAATTGAATCTCGAACCCTTAGCTTGATCATAATGATTGTCTTATCTAAACCTTTAGGTTTTTCCCGTTATTTTCTCTGTCCTTAGGATAAATAAATAATGGTGGCGACTTCATTGAATTTTTCCAGCCGCGACAACTGGCGACTTCACTGAGGACTACCCCTAAGGATATTCTTGCCTACCCTCTAGACTTAGGGCTTTGTGTTTGCTTTGTGTGCTCTTCTATTTTCTTTTATTTCTTGCTTTTCTGCTTTTATTTATGTTATATTTTATTTCTTATATTTATATTTATATGTTTGTTTTTCTTTGGGAATAAAAGTGTACGGGACGCTTTATGCCCGAGCTCCCAAGAAAAATCCTAGAAATAAGGGGTTGTCTAGTGTTGGTCAAAGGGGTTTAACATCCCTATGAGTTTTTCACAAGACCCCCGCTCATAGTGGATTGTGTTCAAAAAATTGTCTTTGGAGGGCTAGCCTCTCTTTAAGACGAGACTTTGAGTTTAATCAATGACTCTGAGGACTTTACCCTAAATAAATCTTCATAGTGGGACTTTGTACGACCTACGAGACGAAAGTCTTGGTGATGTGCCATTTGTGATTATTCACCTTGATTTATGTCAGCCCTAACGCCATGGTGATGTGTCATTTGCGGTCGATGAACTTATGTGTTATTCATGAAACCCTTAAGAGACATCCTTGTGAGTGGACGGGTAGAATAAACTTAGAACTTTTATAGGAGCCCTCATGTAGGTTGTTCTATTAACATTATGTCCTTCATATGGAACCTTCTCGCGAAGGATATCTTGTCAATATTCCTAAACCCGTAACATTTTCCATTTCCATATCCATCCCTAAATCCGTATAAGGTACCCTGATTTCCATATCAAACTCTAAACCCGCAAGGGTTACCTTCTGTCCATTACTACCCCTAAACCTATAGGGGTTTCATTCCTTAACCCGTATGGGCTCCCGTTCGTCTGTCATAATCTATAGCCTATAGGGGTTTCCTTTTGTATGTCACAATCCTTAGCCTATAGGGGCTTTCGTTTGTCTGTCATAATCTATAGTCTGCAAGGTTTTCTTTTGTATGTCGCAATCCCTAATCCGTAGGGGTTTCCTTTTAACTGTAACCCACAGGGGTTTTCTTATGTTTGTCGCTCTCCCTAAACCCGTTTGGGTTTCCTTTGGTTTGTTATTATTCCTATCTCATATGTACTTCCTTTTGTTTATCATAATACTTAACTCGTAGGAGTGTTCTTTTGTCTGTCATTGTCCTAAACCCGCATTGCATTGCATCTCCATGAAAAACTTTTAACATATCTAAGAAAAATAAGAATAAAATCTTTTTGCATACCCATACATTTTTTTTCGTATACATGTACATACATTTTCATATCATAAACCTAATATCTCTTTTCACCTTCGCCCTTGTCCAGCTATCATCAAACTAGCAGATTTCCCGATATTCACAAGCAAACTCAAAACAAGTCTCAAAGTTAAGGAACTCGAGAGAGGCCAAGAGAGAAGGAAACCCTTTGCCATTCCATCCACAAGTCTAGCCAGCGCCTCAGATATCACAATCATAAGAGATTCCCCTACATCAACAGTAACAACAACCCTATCAGTAGAACATGTATGCCCAACAGAAGAGAATACAAAGGTCACCCACTTACTTTAAATAGTGCAAGAGTATCAAAAAGCATCTCTTAAAGTCATTGGATCAACAAGGAAGCTTGTCCCTAAGATCATTAAGGTTTTATGATTTCCATTTCTAAATTCCTTGTTGCTAAGTTTCATCTGTTGTACATTTGTACTTTTTGATTAATAATTCAAATAAGATGAGCATGCATGTTTTTGAAGTCAATCATTCGTATTCACTATCATAAATATAAACGGCTTTCCATTTTCACTTTTCTCCTTTCCATTTTTATCTTTCACCTTTAACAAACTTTGATGGAGAATGACGTAAATAAAAATAATAATTGAATTTGCTAACATATGCTTTTAATAGTAAGATAAAGATGACGATGTAAGGTATTGTTTCACTCCCCAAACACTGGAGAAATAAGGAGTTAATTTATAGTTAATCTCCTCGAGTTAGAAGTTGGAGTTTTCTATTTTTTAAAAATCTTTAGTCTTAACTAGGGGAAAGGTAGATTTCAATTAACTCAATGATGCATTCCAATCCCAAGAGAATCAGTCTACTTAAGCAAGAGGTTTAAGCATGTCCTATTCATACCACACATCATCCAACGTCGAAGAAGCAATGAAGATAAAACTCTCCGCATCTTCTTCCTCGCGTACGTTATTCAACATCGAGGAAGCAGTGGAAAGATAAAAAAACTCAAAACAATTCACATGGAAGTCACGACCTTCCTGAATCAAAAGAAAAATATCAAAAGCAAAATTTCAAAAAAAAAAATAGTCTGCTAAGTCATAAAGAAAAAAATCATAAAAACGAAAAAAGTTTACTTAGGCAAAAGTTAGGGCATCTCGATGGATCGGAAAAATCAAAAGAACTGGTCCATGCAAAAATGAGGGATTGAAAGCAAACAAAAACGGAAAACAAGCTTGTGACTACCACCTTAAAAATCATCAATGTCTCTCATCAGTGCTTGAACCGCATCGATGCTTCTACTCATCATCACGACTATCAAACAAATTCTCTAGCAGATTGAACGCATCTGTTGCGTTAATTAAACTTAGGAATGGAGAAAATCAATAAGAATGGGGTGGATTTAAATTACATTCGAGCCTTATATCATTTGTTTCTTAAACCGTGAACCAAGTCAAGTTACAACCTTCAAAAGTCCTAATTGAAGTTATGTTCAGTAAGAAAGCATACTCTGCAAAGTTTGTGTAATGTTTGTTAAATCATTGCCAAGCGGTTTGTTTTATCCTTTCTTTCATGCTCATCTACCATATCTGTTTTCCATAACAAATTTCTCCATATTTGTTTTCCGTATCAAAATTCGATTTCAAAAAACTTGCATGTGCATCGTGCTAGAATTACTTTTCAAAAAGAATAATTTCGCTTGCAAAACAATACTTAGCATCAAAGAAATTTCAACAATGGCCTGATCAAAGGTGTAGCATCTCAAGAAACTCCTAATTAGGGAAAAAGCACATAGGGGTCCCCCCGCTTAAGAGGAACAAATCCTAATGATCACATGAAGATTCTATTGACTAGGGGCAATCATTCTAAGATTTGGTCAACCAGAGTTACCTCTCCAAACACAAGCTAATCAAGGGCATACCTTTCAAAATTCGGATACTAGGGACAATCCATATCAAAGTCATATCACAGTATGATGAGATCTAAATTCCTTCTCATGATACTCCTTCAAACCCTAAAGATCCAGGCGTACCTTTCAAGATTCAAATGTTGATGCAAACTACTGCAAGGCTTGATCAAAAGAAACCGATTCAAAAAATAACTCATCAAGGACAAATCATTCCAAGAGCTGACTAATCAAAACCAAATTCCTCTAAATTTTATCCTAGGAAAAATTGTCTCAAGAACACATTACACCAACCATTTCAAAAGTTAATTAAATACTTCATTCATCTATTATATTATCTAAAGTTATCAAAGGTAGTAAACACGAAAGACATCTAATTCATTTCCATCTCCACGACGACTATATAACTGCAACATATATAAGGTTGTTTGGTATCAAAATTTTGTGCCTTTCAACGTTGAACATCTGAGAAACCTAAACATAAAATTAATGTAACACGATTTTATGTGTACGAAGTACAATAATTAAAATTTTAAAATAACTCTAAAGAAAAGTGAAAATTTTGACTTTATAATATATCTATTTTTGAAATATTTGACATTACATTGTTCGGGGTGGCTTTGGTAGCAATGTCTTATTAAACTTTGTTATGAATCATATGTATTGCAATATCATCAAGATGTTAAGAAACCTCATACATGATATCATACAAGTTAATGTCTAATTTTTTATTTATTGAAATACGTGTTATTATCATTGGTTTCTTACGTGAATTAACCGACGCACCTCCCAAAACAGTGAAAAGAGCCACATATAAGGAAATCAAGGAGAGACTATCAAATTAGAATATGTTTGGTTTCATTTTGGAGTTGTCAAAATTTACTCGATGAATAATTAATTTTTACATATTTGCTTGCTCTCTTGTATAATTGATTTCAACATAAAGTTATAATTTAGACATTTTAATTGTATAATAGGTTTTGATTGACCCAAATTTATTATTTAATTCTCTTTTGCGAATGTATTTAAATATAAATAATTTTTTTCATAATAGTTTTATTTATTTAAAAATGATACTACAAAAAAAAAACTTTAATTTACAAGGTGAATATCACCCCATCTATTATATAAGAAAATTTTAGTTTGTAGATAAATCATTTTTATCATTTATCCCCCACCGGTCATATATGATAAAACGGTACAATTCTTGTCTTTTACTATTCCTATACTAAATATGAGATATGCTGTTACTTGACCAACCATAACTATTGAACAACGAATCAGTGTTGTTTGAACTAAAGGCAACTAACAAAGTGTTTCAACCTGAGGTAATAGCTGGCTCCCGTACTGTCACTTCCACCTGCTTCTATTAATATATCCTTCTTTCCTCTTCTCACTTATGTCCTTTAACACATACTTTACAATAACCTAATACATCTCCCTCTCATAAAATCCAGTTTCCTTAACCTACAATTTCCTTCAACTCCCAAATTGGACATGGCGAGACCTTTTGAGATGATAAGCGACATAAACGACCGTAAGGAGTTGTGGAAGATTGTTATTAAAATGCATCATAAATGGATGGTAACGACGGCTTCAGAGGAGTATTTTGAGATGGTTGTCTTCGACAAACATGTAAGTTAGACATCTTCGAACGAAGCTTTTGTAAATATTGTTGTTTATGTTTAGATTTCCACTAATGTACCACTTTTCACATTGTTTTGCTGGTTTACAACTCATCATACCAATGTTTTGTATATGTTGTTGTTTAGGGTTTGATTTCCACTTATGTATTGCTGTTCATAATGTTTATTGGGTTTTTGTATGACTTGCGAAAGATATTTAGGTCAAAGTAATTGTACTCTTGTATTCCTATTGTTTTGTTGTTTTGTTCTAATGGTTTCTAAATGATGTTAAATCTTCAGGGCCATGACATACATGTAGTTGTTCCAACTGTCTTCAAGCAAACTTTTGACTCAATATTGTCGGTTAATGTGACATGCACGATGTCTACCTTTCAAATTCAACCTAATGATTTGATGTTCAAACATACAAACCACAAGTTTCTTCTGAAATTCACGGGTGGTACAACTGTAGGAGATATTGGCAAACACAAAATCTATGATAAGATTAGCAGCTTAACCCCTTTTGCTGATCTAATATCTGGGAAATGGCAAAGGAATGTTCTTTGTGGTATTGCCATTAATCTCATCTCAACCTATCTTTGGTTTATGTTATGAATGTTTATGTATATTCCTCTGACAATATTCTTTTCTATAGATGGTATTGGTGTCGTTGACGAGGTAAGCTACACACAATCGCACATGGGAGGGAAAAAACCTCAGGTCAACTTGGTGTTGCATGATTTGGGGTACATCTCATACCAACTTGATTTGATATAGGTCATGCATTGTAAAACAACAATATTTGTTTTTGAGAATTCATTTTTTACAATTACTAATTACCACCTTTGACTGGTTAGAGGCAACATTTTAAATTATACATTATGGGAAGCCTATGTAATGGAGTTCTTAGAGTACCAACAAAAACAGGTTGATTCCACCAAACCAATTGTCATTATCCTCAGGTATGCTAAAGTGAAGGAACAAGGTTCTCACAAACTACACTTCTTAATTTTATCCTTCTATTTACTCAACTTATTCCCTTGCGTTTGTATGGTTCTTTGAATTTATATATGCATTTTATAGGTAAATTTCCCCCTGCAGTGACAAACACCTACAACGTTACAAAACTACAAATAAACGAAGATATAACTGACATCAATGAATTTATAAAACGGTACACACCCAATTGTATGAAATATAAGAGATTAAATTGTCATAATTATTTTGTCATATATGTTGCATTGAACATGTTCAACAATTGTACATGTACAAGTTGTCAAATGATTTTAGCATTGGGAAGTCATTGACCCCCCACAAGCACCCACAACTGAGGGTGGTCACAACAATCTTCCGGTTCTCATATGTCTGTCACGAAGAAGTTTTAGGATAAATCTATTCAGATTAAACTTAATGAGATAATCCAATTGGCCGAGGTAGTTTACATTGCTGGTTATTTTTTCAAAACCGTACTTTTAATCGTTGACTACATAGCAATGATTGGTTTTCTCATTTATGTGCAACCTACTTTTTGTGTAACTGTTGCTACAACAGACAAGCTTTTAGCATCAGAACATGGTTTGTGTTACACAACATGTCATCAATGTCCTCAGGTTGCTAAAGGCAAGAGACCTTCTTTTTTCTACCGGGTTGGACACCAAAGTGAAGCGGAAATTTGGAGGTGGAGTGTTACCTATATTTGTAGTTTAATGTCTTTTGTTTGTTCCGTTTTATTGATGACCTTTAGTTTTGTGGTTGTGATGTAGGTATAAGATTTTCATTGAAGTAGTTCATGAAGGTAACACTGCAAAATTTGTGTTATGGGATCGCGAGGCGGCCGAGCTGTTGGATACTTCTGCTGCACAAATGCAAGCAACCATGATACATGTTTTTATTGGTTGCTTGATCAATCACTTTCAATTTGTTGTTCACATTATTTAAACCACCTTAATGTTATGGCAACTCCAACTTATTATCATCTCCATTCCTAATTGAAATTCAGGTTAGAATAACCGACCCACTTGAGTTTCCTCTTTCCCTTGATTCAATGTTGGGTAAAAAATTTGCATTCAAGGTTAAGTGGGACCCGAGATGGAAAAGCTCATCCATTGTCCTGTTTATTAAGGATAATCATCTCATTGCTATGCTTGAAGGACCTATAGCAATAAATCAGGTTATCGTCATCTTCTTTGTTTCTTACAATGAAATGTAATGTTTTTATAGTCTATATTACTATTGTTGTAATCTCCTAACAACCATCCTCAGTCATTCAAGACAACTTACTTTCAACGCATGTTTGTTTATATCTGTCAAATTCCTTGTGTCTTTTCTCTATGATTCCCATCAATTGCTTTATTACTAATATTGGTCTATCCTGACAGCAAATACCACTCAAGCTAGATACCTCAAATTCCACGCAAGTTCATTTGTTTTCTTTCATTCCTTGTGTTTTTATTTTGAGCCATTCCATATTTAAAGTGTTTCATAAGACACCTTACTCATTCATCACAAGCTTTGAATATTATTGTTGTACCCAAAAATTTGTCCTCTCATTTACCAAATATTTTCTCACAAGATCTCCTTTGGTCCAAGACTGCACAAAGGTTGATCAGCTCAAGACACCTCCTTAAACACTGATGACTGAAATTAGGGTTTAAGATTGCACAAGGATAATTAAACTTTTAATGCCTCATATGACTTTCATGGATCATTATGGACTCCCAAGATTACTCATGTCAAGTTTCAAGTCTTGTATCACATTTTTGCTCAGTTTATTGAGCAGTTGACCCAAAAGTTGACCTTTTGCGAGAGCAAGTTCAAAAGATTGTAACTTCTTCATTATTCGATATTTTTGAGCGGTTCTTTTTGCATATGATTCTCCTTGATGTCATCTCCATTTTCTCTTCACAAATCAAGAGTTGATCACGTGTAGAAGATCTCCAAAATTTGAATAGTTAGAAGTCGCATCATGGACTTTGACCTAATTTTAAGTAATTGTTGTCTGATTTCTAAGAATTGTGATTTTCTCAAATTACAAGATCTTGATATGATTATTTCTGCATATGGTCATAAGTGATGTCTCTCACGAGTTTATCTTCAAAGATCAAAAGAAATTTGTGTTTGGAAGACTTTGAAAGTTATCGAATCGTCGTAAGTCATTTGTTTGATTTTGAATGTTCTTAACCACAATTTGCTGAAGTTTGTTAATTCTACAAGATTGACGAATGTTCTTAAAGCATGTTTGTTAGACAATGAAGTCCCATTTTAATCAAGCGTGGTGTGCGAACTCATTTTGATTACCAATTTGACTTGGATAAGAGGTGAAGATTAGGACTGTCATTTGGATGACCTTGGTTTTGGGTTTGAGTTAACCAATTTGGATTTGAATTCTTAGACATTTATTTTGTTTAAGAATTTTATTGGAGTACAAGGCGCATGTTTTATTTGATCACTTTGTGATCGCTTGAAGTTCAAGTTGCCAAACCAAGATGTTTTATTCAAAGCATTCAATTGAGAATTACAAAGTTTAAATTAAAACTCAAACTGTCGTACATTAAATTTCATCATTTACAAAGTTATTCAAGGCTTTATGTTTATTACATTACAATTGAAATAAATTACAAACTTTTGTCTTGTTTACAAAGAATTACAAATTTCTTGTTTGCAAAGAAATAAATATTGTTCTACTTCTTCAAGTCTTCTTTGCTTCATCTTCAAGCAATCCATCCAATCTTCGCTTGCCATCCATGCCTCATGTTCATGAAACAAAGAAGAAGAGAAAGTTAGCAAGCAATTCAAACAAAAGTGATGTAAAGAAAATGAAAATTCATCATTAGGGTTTGTATTTAGGAATCAGATTTTAAGGTTTATTTTTATCATAATCCCTCTTGTACTATTTTGCAAATCACAAGGTTGGGCCTTGGTTCACAAAAAGAAAAGGAAATTGGCAATCATAACCTAAAGCCCAAGGCTGTCCTACAAGCAACAAAGTATTGCAACAAGCCAAAACAGGCTACATAGCAGGTTGCATAGTAGGAAGCAAACAAAAACACTGCAAGCTGCAACAACAACAAAGCAGGCTACATAGAAGGCAACAAACAACAACAAAACAGTAGGCTGGCGCAGTAACTAGGCTGCCAAACAAGTAAACTACTGTCAGGACAAGGCAAAACAACAAGCTAACTTGCTCAACAACCAAAGTGCATCATCATTTTCCTAAGTCATACAAACCTTTCAGAAAATAAAGAAAAAAAGAAGAAAATATCCTTACATTTTCATTGAAAGAAAAAGAGGAAAGAGACAATTTTAAAGATATCACCTAGCTTACACAACATGCCAAAAGACAGCTGAGCCCAAATGCTGCACAAAATAGGCAACTTAAGGCCTGCACCTCAAGATATTCAAAGTCAGAACTAGCATCAAAATACCAATCCAACAAGCAAACGAAAAAGCCTCATAGTTATATGGTTTCAATGAAAAGTCAAAATATACCAAATCAAAATCATAGGCCAAAAACAATGGTACTGCAAAATCTAAGAGACAAATGCTTTTGTTCACAGAAAAGAGAAAGAAAACTCAGAAAGTATTCATCACAATACAGAAAGCAAGTCAAAAAAACCAAAAAATTACAAGGTACAAAATCAGCAAGCTAGCCTGCTAAAAGCCCTAAAAGCAAGCAAACAAAGTCAACCAACAAAAGGACAACAAACTGATTTATCAAAAGTACAACACCACTACAAAAATCAGCTTTCATCACAAATAACTTGTACAGGCATTTAACAAGCCACAAGTACAAGTTGAGCCATCAAATCCAATTGAAACTCACAAAATCAGTAGAAACATATCACAGAAAAACAAGCAAAGGCCAACCATAGTATAAAGAGGCATCAATACTGTTTTCAGGGAGAGGATTTTTTTGGACCACAAAAAACATACAGAGGCAAAAACCCAAAACAGAAATCGCAGCAACACCATACAAACCCTAACATAAAAATATCATCATCTTCCTAAACATCACAATCCTTTAATAAATTATCAAGAAAGAAAAGATTCAAGAAAAGTCATAAAGATACTACCAGATCAGAAGGTTGATAAGCTCACAAATTCGGACCTCACGAATCATTCTCTTCCTTTTTTCTTTTACTTTCCACTATTTTATTGTTGAATACACCACCATCATCATTATGTTCATTGATTTCACAGATTTATAACTTAGGGTTTCAAACTTTCCCCTTTAGATCTAGCCCTTGATACTGAGAATCTGCAAAAACCAGTCACGGATTAGTAATAGGAGGGAGAGAGGAATCATAAAATGTAAAAAAGGTTGAGTTTGGAACGTCGCCGTCGCCGTCACCGCCGTGAGGCGATTTCCGGCGCAGCCGTTTTATCATATCCGGTGAGAAGAACGATAGAGAATGAGATAAAATAAAACAAGAGAGAGAATGTTTCTGGTAAAATGACAAAGCCTTTGTCATTTTTTTTTGTTTTTGTTCTTCTTAATTTATATTTTCTTTGGGCTTTAACCCAAACTGACCCAACCCAACACCCTTGCTCATGCATACCCCTCCCTTATGCTATTCGCTATCAAACCAGGCCCAACTTCCTGCCTACTCAGTGCACCCCCCCTGTCTCACTTATACCATGCAGGCCCAATCACTCTTTTATGTCATTTTTTTCTGTTTACAAAAAAACCACCTTGGGCCTAACATTTCAAACAAAACAGTTCTACTATAAAATACCCTAATCTGATTTTACACCCCAAACTTCATTTTCTTATTTTTATTTTATTTTATTATTTATTATTACTATTATTAATACTAATTTTATTACCATTTTTATTAAGAAAAAGAAAAAGAGGAAATCAATGGAAAGATAACAATGTCAAAGGAAAGAGGAAATGAACATGAAAGACTTTTGAGTAGGTAGAATGTTCCTAGTTACTTGCTCAATTTCAAAACAAAAAAAATCCTTGCTATTTTCAAAACAAACACCAACACTTTCAAAACACCTTTCAAACTTGAAAACATTTTCAAAAGATCAAAACACTTTGTATACATTCTTACGAACAAGAATAATTAGAAAGTTCGCCTAAACGATGGCATCTTTACAAAATACTTTCAAAAAACCACACAAAGTACATTTTCAAACAAAAGTAAGTGATCTAGAAAGTAACTAAGAGCCCATGGAAAACCATGGATGAAAAGGGTGCTAACACCTTCCCTTTTCATGATCTACCCCCCGAACTCAAGAAAACATATCAAAGGTCTTTCCTGTTCTTTTCAGCCTTTCCTTTTAGATAAAAGAAAAGTCAGTGGCGACTCTTGCTAAACCGCAACATTTGCGATCAAACGCAAAACAACCAAGTCAGTTCTCCCACCGTGTTACAATTATGTTCCCCTTTGTAACAGATCTTGGAGAGTGTTGGCGAGGACCTTAAATGTGAACAACTAAATTCTATTGCAGTACTTCTTTATCCCAACTTTTATACTTTCTATTCTACACACTTTTCCCTTCTTGATCATTATGTAATTTCCTACACTTTGTAGGAAGGTGAAATTACATCTCCCCATGTTCCTGATCCCGCTAACCCTAAATCTAATGTGAAGAGGATGTCTCCAGATGGTTCTATCGATTCTTTTGTCAACCTTATCGCCGAAGGGGATCTATCTTCAACTAAAGTGAAGAAAGTGACCAAACAGGGAAAGAAAACCGCTGTCTGATTCAATTATTGCCCTGGTTGTATAACATCTTTTTGGGTCCTTGATGTAACACAAGACATCATCAAAAACAATTTAGAAATTATTGTATCTGGTTGACCACTATGTAATCCCTTAGAAACCCTTTTGAACTAGATTTAACATTCCAAATACATGTTGGGCTCTATTTTGGATGATTAATGATACAACTTATTTATTGTTAACTTGGGTTATGTATGAATGTAATTTATGTAGTCTAACACTTTCTGCAATCTACTTTTGGAATCCATGTTATATAATATTGCCCTATTATCACAAATTGTTAATCTGGTGTGCAGTATATAACATAAATATTTTGCTATTCTTCAGTATTTTAATGGATAACACTCACCTAAGACTATACAAGTCAAGGTGGCATGGACCTTCTCTTGAGTGAATTAATAAACCCTAATTACTTTATATTTCATCAATGAAAGGGATAGGACGATGGATGTACCTACATCCCTTCTCATACGGCCCTGTTACAGTGTTATTAGTAAAGCCCTCGAAATACAATGCATTGTAACGAACTAAGGTTGTGCTTAAAACATTCAATTCATATCACAAATTATACTTTATTGCAAACTGCTATTAAAAAAAAGGGTTGTACTTTAAACATTAAATTATAACTCTTTTTAGGGGAGGCGACAAACATGATATAAAAGGTGATGTGTAAACAGAAAACCATAAGAGAAGGTTCTTAAGTAATATAACTAAACAAATATACTTACAAACCACCATAAAACTCACATATGCATATGCACAACCACTATCATTCTTGTAGAGACATGTCCCTTCATGCACAACACCAGCCCAATTCACATCTCCTTTTGCTTCCAGATATATCTGTTGCATTAAATGATAGTGTTTCATCATTGTACTTGGTTGAAACTTGCAATACATGATTTCATTCATTATTATAACAATTTAAATAAATAGCCACAACTGTATAAATTTATCATATAATTTGAATTACTACATTTGGCCGCAAAAATACCCGCCAAACATTTCAAACTAAATTTCATTTCTTCTCCACCAAGTATACGAAAATTGAAGTTTTCTAGGTAACATTTTTTGGTCTTCTCCTATTCACAATCAAAATGTATAATACTATCCTTTGTACTAAATATTTGTTTCACTTAAAACAGGTCTAATCCAAATATTCATCTACTATATATTTATACCATAGTTTTTATCCATGTACACAAATGTTATAACAAGTTTACAATGAAAGCTTTTAAACCCCTAACTATGTCGATTGATGTTCTTACTTACTAAATTCAGTTTGTGACAAATTGGGTCTATTAGAGATGGATGATAACAATGACACCCCTGCTTCGATTGCAATAAAGAGGAGAAGGTCGATATTGGTGGACAATAAACATCACGGTTTGAGTTCAAACAAGGAGAATATGATGGATGCACCATCCACACCTGCTATTACTGCGACAAATTCTTCAACTATTCTCATTCCCACACTCCATATGGACTATGATTTCCGTCACTGGAGGATATCTAATATAGAAGTGCAAGATATCGCCCTCTTGTAAATTTCTTCCTTTGGAAAACTTGTACCATCCAATTGCAAGGTATGTCTCATATGTATCACCCCTCCTTTTCAAAACACATCCATGGTCCTCACCGAGTTCCTCATCATATAACCATATCGTACTAGGTGGCTCAGCAAAATAACTATTCACCACACGTGTTGGTATCTGCTACATAATACCAAAATTAAACTCAATATAGAACAATATTTTTTGCAGTTAAAACTCTCATCTACTATGTGTCTTATCTTTAACTTTCCAACACGTTTGTTGAAAAAACCTATGGCAACTCTACAACCTTAGAACACAACTCTTCTTCCAGCAGTCCGATAATCGGACTATACAGACCACATGATATCAAAATACAACAGTTACCAATTGTTTTGTTTAAAGCGTCATTGATGCTTAGCCCTATAAATAACATCAAAAATAACAGTTCAACATCTTTAATATGTTGTTAACCTTACAAACTATTTTACCTTTGATTGTCTGAAGAAACCTCAATTGGATCATGAACATTGCCACCTACCGAATGACCGTCATTCAATGCTTGACCCACACCAGTTACATCATCATCATCACCTGACCTTGTGTGATACGGTGGGAGAACTAACTTGGGTGTTTTGCGTTTTATCGCAAATGTTGCAGTTAGCCTCGCCACCGACTTTTCTTTTATCCAAAAGGAAAGGCGAAAAAGCACAGGAAAGACCTTTGAGATTATTTCTTGAGTTCGGGGGGTAGATTATGAAAAGGGAAGGTATTAGCACCCTTTTCATCCATGGTTTTCCATGGGCTCTTAGTTACTTGCTAGATCACTTGCTTTTGTTTGAAAATGTGCTTTGTGTGGTTTTTAAAAGTATTTTGCAAAGATGCCATCGTTTAGGAAAACTTTGTAATGATTCTCGTTCGTAAGAATGTATACAAAGTGTTTGATCTTTTGAAAATGTTTTCAGGTTTGAAAGATGTTTTAAAAATTTGGGTATTTAGAAAATAGCAAGGATGTTTGGGTTTTTAAAATTGAGAAAGTAACTAGAAACATTCTACCTACTCAAAAGTCTTTCATGTTCATTTCCTTTTTCCTTTGACATTGTTATCTTACCATTGATTTGGTAAGTAACCCTATCTTTGGATGTAAACGGGATGCGCGTGGGTCATCGTATAACCATGATTAGCAATGTTTCAAGGTATCTTAGCATTTCCTTTAGGGACTAAGATCATTTTGAAAGGCAACATTTATAGCGTCATCGAGGGACTATGATCTTGTATTTTTGATTGCTTTTGCTAAGATATCCCACATGCATAACATGGCCATTTTTGTAAGGCAACAAGTAGAGTTAACCCTAGGGGTGCAAGTGTGAAAGTGTGTTTGATTTACATGCATTTCTTATCTTGAATTAGGGTTCTCTAAACATTGATTTTATCTTTCCATACAAACCCTAATTTACTAGCATTGATATGAAAGCGATAAATTGTAGAAAGTAAAATTACTATGCTATTACATCATTATGGGGATGGGGTATACAAATTTAAAAATGGGGATTGCAAGAAAATTAAACCCTAATTAATATTACAAGGCTTTGACAATTACATAATTTATAGTGCAAAAATAAAATATGCAAGAAGATGTAAAGTGAGAGAAATTGCTTTTTAGGGTTTTTTGTAGAAAAAAGGTTTTGTAATTAATTTCGTTGAAGAAAAACCTAAGTCTAAGTTAATTATTTAGAAAATTATTTTTGAGGTTTCATTTGAACAAAAAGGTTTTATAAAGTTAGGTCATTTCCAAGCAATTCAATATGTCCAAAATAACCTAAAATATCTTCAAAATCAAGAAATTTGGTGCCCGAGCTGACACGGGCACTCGTGTCAGGACCTGTCCATAACTTTTATGCATTTATTGGTTCCAGCCAATCTGACACGACTGTGTCACGTGACACGGGCACCCGTGTCAGCCCCTGTCCATCTTTTTTTTCTCGTGTACGCACCAGTAACATTGACAAGGGCCGTGTCGTATGACACGGGCACTCGTGTCAGCCTCTGTCCCTGCATTTTACTATGTTTTTCAACCCAATTAAGCTGACACGGTCTGTGTCGTGTGACACGGGAACCCGTGTCAACCTTTGGTATGTCTTTTTGTTAGTTTTTTATATTTGATCTGTCTTGTTATATCTTTTGAGTGAAAAAGCAAATGATGTATGAATAATGATATCACAGTTTGAGAAAGTTTACCTCTCGAAGTGGAAGCTTTAGAACACGTACGGATGTTTTTGTGTGAAAAGTAGTGATTGATCGAGATCCTTTGAACCTTCTTGAAGTAGCTCCAACCTTCTTATTGTGCTGAAAATGGTTGAACTACTCCAACCGAGTCAAGTTGCAATGTATATTTTTTGAGTTTAGAAGATGGTGGTAATGATGTTACAGAAGTTATTCTTATGTTTTAAAAACTTCCATATGGTGTATATGAAGTGTTTGGATGGTTTGTTTGGAGAAAACTTGCAAGGTATGAGATTCAAAGATTTGGACTTCAAAGCTCAAAAATGGAGGTTTTGTGTACAAATCTGGTTTTTGACAGCAAAAATGATTTTGAGTGTTAGTTCCCCCTCCTATTTTTTCTGGCCTCTTTCTCTTGTGATTGGCCTCTCTATTTATAGAGAAGGTTTGAGACTTGAACAAACTCAGATTTTGGATCACATGTTATGGCTAGGTTAGATTGTACATGAAGCAAGCTTGAAGAACATGTTTCCAATGCTTGTACCAAGCTATCTAAAGTGGTTGATCACTTTAAACATGTTTATTCTGACTTGTAGAAGTTGAGTGTGATTATAACAACAAGTTATACGCTTAAGAAATTGACTTTATGATTAAAGTGAACTTTGCAAGAATGGAAATGGTGCCTTTGTGCCAAAAATGGAAAGATCACTTGGACAATGCTTAAACCAAATGAACCATAGCTCAAAAGTTTGTGTAAGCATTAAATTATGGTGAGATTTGCAAGTCACAAGGCCTTCAAAGTAAGATTATGCAGCACATCATGCCAATTGGATTATGTGTTCTTCAACAAAAATGGCTTGTAATTCAAGAATGAATGCCCAACTTCAGGCCCTTGAATCTCCTAGCTCAAATATGATAAATTCAAGCTCTTGAATGTTTTGGAAAGCTTGAAACACCCTCTATAACTTTCATGTTGGACATTTTGACAAAATCATATTGTAACTATGTGAAAAAATGCCAAGAAGTTGGGATAAAATCCTGACCAAAACTGCTGAAAATTTCTCTAAGTGTTTATTCAAAAATGTCATGACTTCATGAATTTATAACTTAAAATCCAAGCATTTATAGGAGAAGTTGTATAAAGCAATGTTTTAGATCTCATGGAGATCTACAACTTTCATGTTGAAAGTTTCTTTTGAATCATCTTGCATCATGGTAAAAAATTGGCTC